TATCAATGAAAATCTTGTAATTACCCAACAATGATCTGCTCCGCGTTTTGATTTCCAATTAAAATGTTTATAATAAAATAAAAATATCAATACAAATAAAAAAAAGTACCTCTATTATTAACACATTTTCTTTAGGAGACCCAAACCAAGCCAGACAACAACACTCACATTTTGTCACCTTGGGCTCTGTCAAAAAATAATCAAAAATCAAAAAAAAAAACCAATAAGATAAATAATTAGCATGTATGCATCAATTGTATCACAAACTTCTCTTTAATTTTTTTTTCAAAATGTCTTTTGAAAAAAATTCTAACAAAAGAAAGCAAAACAAAATGCCAATGAGGCTGTTGTTAGGTAAGTGTTTTAAGGATGGTGGTGGTGGTTATAGCCCACCACTCGTCGTTACTCTAGTTTTTTAAAATGACTGACTTGTATTTATATTTTTTAGTCGAAATGGAACGAAAAAAGCAAATATTACTGCTACTGGTATTTTATTATATATAAGTTTAGGACATTTTAATATTATTATTATTTGATTTATATAATTTTATATTGAATAGATCCTTCATCCTCCACTACTGTTGCTTCTACTGTTGCTGTTAACAATGTAAGTTAGTTCTTTCGTGCATTTATGTTCAAGTTTGCCTATAATTTAAACTTTATTCCTTTTTTAACACATTATACTTATATATATACCCAAATCACTTAAAAAGAATGTTAAGAAAGAAAAACTTGATATCTTAAGAATTGACGTAAGCACTATTCTTATTATTCTTATATATATATATATATATATAACTTTTTTGAAAAATCTCATTATTGTAATTATTTTAGGATTGTGAAATAAGCTCGTGGCCCTGGGTTACAGGAAAAAATTCACTGTCAATTCAAGAAAGAATTAAAGAAGCAATAATTTTGTCCAATGTTGTGGAGTTCAAACATGATGATCCGATATGCTCTTCGATAATTGATTTTTCTGGTCAAAATTCACATTTGTTCAAATGTTTTTCCAAAAGCGAATGGAAGGAGCTTTCTGATATAAAGGATTGTATGATGAACAAAGAAAGTTATGTACCAGTTATTGAAGAATCAAACATGACAGAAATAAAAAAACATTTGTATGTGTTCTATTATTGTTTTTATTTTAACTTAAGCATGCTTTTTTTTTAATGCAATTTGGTTTTACTTAAGTTCATGCTTAAGAAAAAAGAAAGAATATGAAAAAAATAATGGTTGGAATGAAGGTACATGGAGATCAGATTGTGTCACACTACCATTTACTATTGCCTCAAGAGAAGTTGTTTTAAAATTTTTGACGTAAGAGAATTATCATTTTTGTCATTACTTTTGATTATTACATAATCATTATTTTACTTAATTAAGAAATTATTTAGACCAGAAAAAGATTCTATAAGCTCAAAAGAAGGAGGGGAAAAAGTCACACCACCAATAGCAGCAATGATCCTGAGAAGGAAAATGAAAAAAAGGTGTTTTTTTGAATAGTATTGAATAAAAATCATTAATTATTTTGCAAATTTAAAATAATTGCATATAAATTATTCATACATATATATATATATATATATTAACATGTTTTTTGAAAAAGAAAAAATTTTGAGGAAAAAGACCTGATCTTATATTTATTTCAAGAGAAAAATATTGATACCAAGGAAACATTAATTTTGAAATTGTGATTGGAGAAGTTTGTTCTTTGCCATGGCAAGAAAAGGAACCAAAAACTTCATCAGATCTCAAAAATATGTTTAAAAATATGAAGGATTGTAGAGATTTAATCTCAAAGTATTTTTACAACAAGTATGGAAATTACAATTGCAATGGGTATAATTAGGGTTTTTATTCATGAATATCATGAATATCATTAAGGGGGTTACACACTATTAAAACAGCAAAAAATCCCTTAAAACATGAGTTGATCACTTGATTTTAATAGTGTGTGACCCTGTGTGACCCCCTTATGATATTCATGAATACAAACCCTAGGTATAATCTTAGAGATATTGAGATTTATGGAGTTTTGATCACTGGTAAGAAATGTTTTAATGTTGTATATATTCTATATATACATACATACATATGTATAATTCCCAAACTTTTCTTCAAGGTTTTGTTATGAAAATATTTGTTTTAGGTCAACTGGATCCTGCATTTATAGGATTAGATTAGTGACCACTGTTGATATACCAGTGAAAAAGAATGTGGTAAAGTATTATGACATATTGGATAGATTGATGGTAAGACATTTGAGTTGGCTATTTTATCAAGATAAATTACAAAACTAACTTAAGAATCACCTTTACGTTAATTTAATAGTATGCCACAAATAGTTCGTATAACATAATAAAAAATCTTGATGGTTTGTTAAAAAGGAAAAAGGAGAAGAGAGAAGGAAGAAAAACAAATTTATTGTCTTCAGTTTCATGCACGCACTCACCATAATATCATTTATCATAATTTTCTTTCAAATTCTTTTTTCATAACAAATTATTATAAATTTTTCTTTCTTTCAAACATATGTTAAACATGAAATACCAATTTGATTATTATTAATTGACGATCCGTCTATTAATGAGAGACATGTCGATCAATTTCATATAAAATCTTGGGGATAATTGTTATT